AGTATATTTATTGTAATTAGCCATTATACTCCAGTAAATGTACTCCAGTAAAATTGGGATTTACCTTTGGGAATTCATTTATTAATTTATTAACTCATTGAACAGTTATTTGAATGACTATGTCAAACAATGTCCCATCATCTTTTTCCCTCTTAATTATTCTGTATTTTAACATTTTATTCAACATAATTTTTGATTAAAAAAACAGCAACATTATACCTTTAAAAGTTGCTTTCAACTTGTTTTATTTTTTCTGGTAGAATATGCAATGAAAAGCAACAGATGAATAAAGTAGGGTACAAGTTAAATTCTTGCTTTGTAGAAGAATCCTGCCCACTGATTTAGTAGGACATGTTTTTATAATTTCTCTATCTTAAAAAAAGCTTAGTGTGATGGTTGTATTAATAAACAACTGAAATATATTTGATTACTTTCAAAATTCTTTTCTATAAATAAACCCAAGAGCAGTTTTCATTCCTTTGTAATTGTTTAAGCTTTCTCTTCTCTATTCATTGATTTACTTAGCAGATGTTTATTGACATACGGTCTGCAAGGTCAGGAATTCTGCCAGTGTTTGTTCACTATTATATCACCAGTGTCTAGCATAGTACCTGGCAGATTTTAGATGCTTGATGTTTGTTGAGTGACTAAATGCTAAATGTAAGTGCTGGAGACACAATGATCCAGGCATAATCTTTCTCTCTTGAATTTTGTGACCTCTTTCTCAGAGATAGTTTAGTACATTTACGGAGGCTAACAATGGGAGCTCCAAAGTCAAACTGTGGTTCACCCAGATCCCTTCATTAACTAATTATGTGATCTGAGATCAATGCCTCTGTGTCCACTGTAATATGGAGATTATAATAATAACTTCTCTCATAGAGCTGATATGAATATTGAGATATTACAGGATATTGCAGGCAGATACTCTAAAGAGTACATGGTACCTAGCAAACAATCTGCACTTCTTAGTTGCTGTTTCTACTATTAATATTACTGAAAATTTAGTAGATGCCAAGCCCTGGGGTATAGTCTTTGCTTTTTATGAGTTAGCACCTACTGAGGGAGATAGAAAATGAAACAGGATTCAGTATGGTGCTTGATAAGACTCACTAGTGGTAAGAATCCTCTGAAAGTGATACTTCACCCAGAATGACAGGGAAAGCTTCCTGGGGTAGGCCATATCTGAACTGAAAGCTGAAGAGAGTAGGACTCAGCCTGGAGTGAGCGGGGATGAGGGATCAAGAGGGTCCGGGGTGGTGCTAAGAGTCAAAGGAAGCAGCACAGGCAAAGACATGAGTGTGAGAGAGAACGTGGTCAGTAGAGTATGAGGGGCATGGAGAGACCAAGTGGTGCAGGGAGAAGTCGGCTGAGGTCCAGCCTTGAAGGGCCCTCCCTACTCAAGAGCCAGTATGGAATGGCCTCAGGTTTGCACTTAAGGAAATCATCTAGAACTGGTGAGAATGGATTGTGTAGGGATAAGATGAGAAGGAGACCAACTAAGAGGCCGGTGCACTATATTATGGGAGAGCTGTGCCAGTGGAGACAGAATCTTGGGAAACCCTGTATTTTGGGGACACGGAGGAACTGTCACTGTCATTTGCTAAGGATTTTGTTAAGTACAGTATAAACTCTAAACCATGTAATACAGTGTAAGTTTTTTTCCTTTTATTTTTATTGTTACAGATGTCTCCATTTTCCCCTCATCTGTTCTCCACCCAGAATCTCCCCAACCCTGGCTCCTATCTCTGTCCATTGCCAGGCTTTTGTCTGTGTCTATGAGTTATGTATATATGTTCTTTGTTCTATCAATTGTTAAATTTGCAATGAAAAGAGTGGAGGATGGATGGGTTAAAAACAAAGAGCAACCCACACTTACTTTCATTCCAGGATCCTTTTTATTGCCTGCACAGATTACTACATATTTATTCTTTGGTATTCTGTGAATTATTGCATTGCTTATATGTGATCAAAATTTCCCCTAATTGCTCACATAACGTAAGTAATCCTGTCCCTGCAGGAGCCTTAGGATCTAGAAATTATAGTAAAAGAGTCAAATACCACAAAACAAAAGTCCACAAAACCACACTGTATAGAGAAGGCTGTTTTCATTCTTGATCTCTATGGTTAACTAAGTCAATGAAGAGAGCTTCCTGTGTTTTCATAATCCTTGAAATTATATGTACATTACATACAATGTAGTAAGATGTTACATTTGTCCTGGTAGATGAGACAGACCAAAGTCATTTATTCATTCAACAAATAATTGAATACGTAGTAGGTGTTAAGCAATGGGCACAGCAGACTGTCCTTGATATGGAGCCTACATTCTAGAAGATGGAATGTTGTGTTATTTTGATGAAAAATGGTAAAAACATTTTTCTCCAATTATTTTTTTGACCTAAGATGGTAATGTAGGAAAATAAGGTATGACGTATCTGTGTATCAGGTATCTTTCTGATTTGTTTCCTAGATTATAAGAGATAGTATGGTGTTGTGAGGATCACGTGAGAGAGTATTACTAATGCTTAAGGCATAGTGCTTAATTGATGTTAGCTGTTATTTACATTAGGGGATAATTGAGTTATGTTGCCAATCTTACCGACTAATGCAGATTACTTCTAATTCATCTCTTAAATTCCATAGAAGCTGCATTTGGTAGCCAGACTACCATCATGGTCTTGACTAGACTTCAGCAGTAGCCGCCTACCTGGTCTGTCTGCATCCTTTCTGTCTCTCCAGTCTAGTTTTTGCTTTGAAACCAGAATAAAATCTATGCTCTTAAATTAGTTTCCTACTGCTTCTGCGAAAATTTCCATGAACCAAGTGGCTTAAAGCAACAGAAATGTATCGTCTTCCACTTCTGGAGGTAAGAAGCCCCGAATCAGTCCCGCTGGGCCAAAATAAGGAGGCTGACAGTGCTACGTTCCTTCTGGATGCTCTAGGGACAGTGCACTTACTTGGCATTTTCTGGATTCTAGAAGGTCACCCTGGCCTTGTGGTCCTGCATCGCTCTGACTGCTGCTTCTATCATCACCCCTCCTTCTTTGACGCGTCTGCCTCTCACTTTCACTTGTAAGGAATCTTGTGACTATATTGGACCCTGCCAGAACGTCCAGAATGATCTTTCCATCTCAGGATCCTTAATCACATCTGAAACATGACTGTGGCACATAAGGTTACATATCCACAGGTTTCGTGAACTAGGAGATGGAGATTTGGGGGGCCGTTATTCTGCAACCATCATGTCATAGAACAGTGTCTAGAACATTGGTGGAAGTGAGTTTCTTAATTAATTAATTTAGCATCAATATCTTCTCCCACATAAAGCTTCTCTATGGCTTCCTTTACTTTTTAGGATTAAAGACTTAAATCCTCAGCATGGCCTGCGAGGTCTTTGTGGCCTAGCCATGCCTGGTGCTTTCCTGGGCCTCCAGCCTCTTCATGGGCTCTTCTCCCCCTTGCGCACAGAACTCCACTCCATTTCTTCTCAGCCCCTTGGGGCCTCGCTGTGGCCTCTGCTCACACCAGCCCTCTGTCCCTCTCTCCACACCCCTTTGCCTGTTTTTCTGCCACTCACCATTCAGACTGTAGAGCAAACTCTGCTCTCTTAAAGAGCATCATCTTGGACTTTTCTTTGCTGGTCAGATATTCTACTTGGACTCAGTCCTGGAACCTGGACTTCTCCTTCATAGCACTTGATCACAGCTTGCAATTGTTTATTGGTGTTCTGATTTGTTTCATCTGTAAGCTCTGTGAAGGGAGTGACTATTTCCGTTGTATACTCAATGCTGATCATTTATTTGGTGCTCAATAAATATTTGTTAAAGGAATGGACTTAAAATGAAAAGGCAGTGTTCCTGAAAAGTAGCCCTTGGTTTTGTTCATCACTGTAGTATTTTTATAGCCACGGGAAGAATGGGTTTTGGGTTCTGGAAAAGGTTTGTTCACTAATAGAAAGTAGGTGATTGATAATTATTGAGTAAAGCAACCCAATTTTTCTATTCATTTTCAATAAAGGGGTTAATTTTACTATTTTGTAGTTTTAAGACCCATCTTCCAACTCTAAAAATATATTTAAGACTTTTAACTGCCTAGCATGAACATATAGAATCTCATAGGCTAGGGATTCCATTAAATTTTAAAGTCACCTTCATTCAGAGTCGTCATGGTTCAGAGGGAGTTTTCCTGGTTTAGGCCTGTGGGTTGTAGAACATTGAACAGTGGTGTTCAAAAGAAGTCTGCCAAACCCCAACGCAGTCATCACTCAGTGCATGTCATAGGTTTTTCTGTTTTACAACAGAAAAAAAAAATTATGTTTTGTATCTGACTTAACTGATTAATTTTCTTTTAATTTTATATTTTATTAAATTATGAGTTTTTCCCATTTTTTAAGCTTGATTTATATTTATACAAATTTGATCATTATAGTGTCCCATTTAAGCTACAGTATTTCACCTTGATGTAGGCAAAGTTTCTGTTAGTTATCAGCTTTGTTGCCAATTCAGTGAACTTTCTGGAGGAAAAAGAAGAGAACTTTTGGAATTTAAAAGTGCTTTGAAGTGTTCCTATTCTATGAGAAAAAATTATTTGGAGAAAATCAATTTAAAAGCATAATCTTGTCATTTTTCTCTATTCACTGATTAATATTGTAATTCAAATTTAACTTTTAAGTCAGAAATCTCTATTCTATATATCTGTATATCATATCTATTTTTCACATTATATAAAGACAATTTCACACTATATATTATGAAACACTATTTTATATCTATCTGTTTCTATCTATAGTGTGACAGTCACTGATGTTTTATTTTTTTAAATCTTTTTCTTAGGCTTGATAAAAATTCATAACACTGATTGTTAATAACTTTCAGCTTTTAATCTCTCTATTCAGATATACTACTATTTACTAAAAATTCAACTTTCTATTACTAGCTTAACTTTGGTTGTTGTATAAGAATCAATCTATATGAAATGTGTATATGCTTTCCTCTTAGAGTATGTTGGATAAGGGACATTGTTGTGGCAGTGACTGGAGAGAACATGGAAGCAATGAAGGGCATCATCCAGAGGTACCAGCATAAACGCATCTCAGTAGTTGAAGCTGGAGTGACCCGCCACAGGTCAATATTCAATGGACTGAAAGCACTGGCCCAGGATCAGCCAGACTCGAAGCTCTCGAAGCCAGAAGTAGTGATTATCCATGATGCTGTGAGACCTTTTGTTGAGGAAGATGTCCTCTTTAAAGTTGCCACAGCTGCTAAGGAACATGGAGTAAGTACATTTAATGAGAATAAATAAAAGAGGCAAACACTATAGAGTGGTTCATTTGCTGAAATTTGATGGAATTATATTTAAATGTCAAATTATTTAAAATGGGCATGATGATCTAAAGATGTTAGGGTAATTTGTTTTAGGAACTTTATAGTACTATAGATTGCAAGACTGTTCTGGAATTTATCTTTGCTATAGTCATTTATCATCACAATGTAATATGAGTTATTTGGAGCTGGATGTGGTAATGTTATTAGAATATGGAAAATGTCTAAGAAATCTCTCAAAAATCTGGTTCATGGCATTCAAATTTTGAGTTTTGAATTTTCAGAAGTAATTTATTTTCTAGCAAAACAGTCACATGAGATTTTTTTATTTCTTAAAGTGAATCATCTGAAGATGACAGAATTGTTTTTACTTTTATTTCACCAAAATAAACACAGGGTTGAAAAAGACCTATGAGTGCTTTTTTCTTATATTATCAGGTAAAGCTCTATAAATAGGGTAATAGATATTAAATGTAAGTTTGCAGTCTAAATTTGAGACTTAGTGAAGAAATTACTGAACACGCTTGGTATAGTACAATACAAATGATCTGTGGAGCCTGACAGACCTACTCCCAATTTTCAGTTTTTCTAATTATTCGTGGCGGAGTGTGTTCAACTTTCTCAAAATCTTTGAGCCTCTTTTCCTTACTTGTAAAGATATGTGTAAGGTTTCTAGGATAGAAAATTTATAGGTTAAGTATTTAGTAAAGTTCTAAGTACTTAAAAATGGTATTATTTAAAGATGAACTATAACATCTCTGTAATAGAGTTTCCTCCAAGGAGTGTAGAATAATGGAAGGAATCATCTTAGCCTTCCTAGACACTCAGGAGGCCAGGGAATTACAAAATATTCATCTGGGAAAGACAGTCTATGATTTCTCCTAAGTTAACTATATGTAAGTACTTGGATCATATAGTAAGGAAGTTTTCCCTAATTTCATCTCTTTTTCCTATAACATGGATTTATTAACATTTAGAACTATATAAGACTTCCATAGATTAAATGAAACACTTTGATTTCTTTAACAACTTCTAAATGGTATTTTGATGTAGTGAAAACTTGGTCCAGAACCATTAGTGGCCACGACACTTTTTCATGGTTCTTATGCTTCTCCTGTGACCCTTGTCTTCTTCTCCAGTCCCTCCGCTGTGGTGGAGATGATGCAGTCAGTTACATGAGTGGTGAGTAGGAATAATGGAGCGAAGAATTTATAACTCTTAGGACTTTAAGTAAAATTTTACAATTTGAAAAGCTTCCTAGGGAAGATTACATAATTTGGGTAGATAGTTAGAAATTTTAATGCAGAGTAAATACACATAAAAATATGGCTCTCTGCCTATGTTACCTTTGGGAAAAATATCATTCAAGCTCATTGAAAAACACACATATTTGCAGTTTTAATGCTGAGTATTACATTTGTGAGGGATTATTTCTAGGAGATTGTCTAGAAAGTGATTCTTGGCTGTATGTCTGAAAAGGCAAAAGAGGTCTTCTATATTGCTTCACTTAATATGTTAATGAGGTGATGAGCGTCATACAGATGTGAGATGAGCATGTAATTAAGAATTTTACTTAACTCATTAAAGAGGGAACAAGACATGTTACAACTCCAGAGAAGCACAAATTTATGTGAAAGGAAGAAATGTTGAAATGAATTCACAAATAGACAAAACTGCTTTTCCAGGAAGGAAGGGTGTCCATTGAATCTCCTTTGGACAGAAATTATTTGCATGTTTATAAATAAGACTGATTTTTGCATTGCTATCAGTTATCTATAATTTCCAAGAGTTATAAAAGGGCTCAGAGGTAATGAAAGGCTAGATTGAGCTAATCTGGAAGAGTCTACTCTAAGCAATATGTAGTTTTCCATTGGAAAAACAAATTTTGTTTTTTGCTTATTCTAGATTTCCTTATGGTGTTTGTGATAATTACCAGATAACCTCAGAAAATCCAGACACTACTTCCTGCCAACTGTCATACTGCTCTAATCATAAAAATATAAATGCAATTATTAGAGACTTGTACTAGTACTTGAAGTTCTTACATTGGTCGGGATTATTGGCATCTTTTATACCTACCGGCCAATAAATTGCAAAAAATTGGCTTCCATCAAATTCTATCCCAAGGCAAGGAAAGGTAATAATTGCTTAGTCAAAGCCACTTCACAATTTGTTTTTCATGGATTCTTTGAACTCCTCCTCCTTTATTCTCTTAAACTGTTTTCTGTAGACTCAGAACTGGTTTTCTTGTTTTCTTAGCCCATATTTCAAGCTTGACCAAAAGGTCCCATTCAGATCAATCATTTTCTAAGTAAGCTACACAGTATGACAGCCCATTAGGTGGTATACATGCTAAAGGTGGCTGTGACATTTTTAACTTATATCACAGTTTGGATAAAACAAAATAAAACAAAACAAATTGATGAAGGTGTATTACTTCAAGAGACTATAATGTCCAAAATTAAGGCTGACATTAGAGTTGCCTGCTTACAGGAACTTGAAAGTATCACAAGGACACAGGTTTGCTCTCTTCATTGTGTCTGCACCATTCTTGGGTCCCACATATTTGATGTGACCTCAATAAGAGCAGCAGTGAAAACCTTTTAGTGTTTATTCAGCCTTATTCTTGTTGATAGTTTGTCTGGGCATGAAATTCTAAGGCTATGTTTTTTTCCCAATACTTTGAAAATATACTATATCATTGTTTCCTGGCTTTCATCGAGCTCTTGAGAAATCAGCTAACCAATCTCATTGTATCCTGTGAAAGGAACCTGCCTTTTCTCTCTGGTCAATATAAGATAATATATCTTAAAATTATTTTTCAAAGATTTATGTATACTTCATTTTTTGTACAGGAAGAATATGCATTTCTTTATTAAACATTAGCTAGTTTTTACTTAGAAAATCTTTGAGTCATCTTCTAAAGAGAAACTGAAATTTATATAATAACCAGAAATTGTGACATGTGGTATGTGGGTGTGTTTTTACGTGATCTCTTTGGATTCTGCAGCCTGACTATATTTATCAATGATTGATAGCACTTTGGCAATTCTTGTAAGTTTAATATGTGTACATCAGGAAGAATGTGCTTTCCTACTACTTAGTTTTACAACTTTATGCAGTGTATTCTGGGCGTGTTCTAAAATAGAGATGGAGGATCACTTGGCAGAGTTTGACTGGTTTTGGAAATTAGACAGGAGGTAGAAGTGACGATGGCTAATGATCACTTGTACTTGATCTCCGTTGGATAGTTTTGATTGTGAGTAAGTGCACTGAAGGTCAGAGTTGAGCCTTGGGTGGAGTTCATGTAATGAGCCATCCTGGGTCATTGGATCCTGTGCCATTATCTATTGGAGAGACACTTTGGTGTTGATTTAAGTGCTAGCTCTAATGAAGCAGTTTTATTTGTGAGTAGTCAGTGAGTTAGGATTTAAAGGGAAATTTTAGGCATACTTTGACGAAGACTTAAATGTCCAGGTATGGTGCTGAACTATTCCTTGACTGCCAGGGGATGAGGTGAAACTTTACCTGGTTCTGATACTAGAGAAGATTTTATGGGAAAAAGCTTTTGTTTTACTTCATTACTTGAAATTACCAACACCTGTATATATGTTCTGTGCATTACCTTAAAATGAAGTTGGAGAAGAGGATCAAGGAAAGATGAGTGTATCTAAGGATTAAAATGAAATTTATATATCCAAGTGTACAATCATATACCTGATCATATTAGATTTAAGGTAAATGCTACTAGTTTAACTTCCAGCAATTAAATATAAGTGCAGAGTGGGGAAAAAGTAGGTTTACAGCTGTGAGTATGTGAAACAGAGTTTATTCTTGTTTTATTATTTATTAATTATTGTATTATTTTCCATACAAATGGTTGTAAACCTACTTTTTCCCCACCTTATATGTAAAATGAGGACTCACTCTTTTTTGCTTTGTATATACGTTTAGGGGTGTTTTGTAGGGATGTAGTAACTTGGACAGAGGTTTTTCTAAAATACCTGTATTTCTGTATTGAATAAATAATATATTCTTTTAACTTATCAAAAAAGGAGATGGAAAGTATTCTATTATAAAATATTAAAAAATTTTTAAAAAGACTTTATGTATCTATTGTTAGAGAGAAGGGAAGGGAAGGAGAAAGGAAGTGAGAGGAACATGGATGTGAGAGAAACATTGACTGGCTGCCTCTCACCCCCCCCCCCCGCCGGGTCCCTGGCCCACAACCCAGGCTTGTGTCCTGCCAGGAATCCAATCGTAGCCTTTCCATCTGCACTCAGTCCACTGAGCCACGCCAGTCAGGGCGAAATATTCAAAGTCTTGTAATTGCTAATGATTAGCTTTGAATATGCTTTTCTGTAAATATTTACAAAGCCCTTCAATAAAGACAACTCAGCTGACTGAAATTGTAATTACAATGCTGGAGGGTTTCTGTCATACATTGTCATAGTTAGTTTGAGTGCAAATGCCTGAGGAGGAATGCCCGTCAGCACCTGCTGTGTGGATGGATGATAAGTATTGTTCAGTTTTGCTTTAAAAAGTGAACAGTAGGGTTGGAGTTCATTATTCCACACTGTATGCTTTATATGTCTATGGTCATTTCCATGCACTGACATGTGGAAATACTTTGATAGATTAGTCTGAGAGGCAAGTACTCACTGTGGTGCTGAGCTGTTAAGTTTCTATTCGGGGCTTATTGTGCTAATTCCTAAGGAGACAGTGTATTTGGTAACTTGGGAGTCATGCTTCATCTAACAGACTTCTCAGATCGCTGTATTCGGGAGGCAGCGAACTGTCATTGGCCATACTTTTGTCATGATTTGATGCCTCTTCTTAGATCCTGTCTCTTGCCTTGTGAACAATCCCTGCACCACTGCTTTGGAGCTGTGGGTGGGCATGATGGCTTGTTTCCTACAGAGCAAAAACCCTTCCTCATGGGCAGGGTGCTGCACAGGGGCATTAGAAGACTCACATATTCTCTTTTTGCTTCTTCTGGCATAGAACCCCTGCACTACGTGTGATCTGGGGCGAGAGGGAGCCAGGCCCCAGAATTCTCTGCCTGCCATTTCCAGGGCAGGTCCTCGCCCTGTAGGTGGATGTTTCCAACCTGTTGGCCACACTTGTCTGTTATTTAGCTTCTGTGAGTGACAGGGAGCAGAGTGGGACAGGGCACGCTAGCACTCTGCTTCTCCTGTTGGAAACGAGGGGGAGCGGGAGCCCTGTTTTTTTCCATACATGTTCTCAAAGGAACTTCAGTCATATTACACCGGGTGGGGAACCAGGGGAGAAACGGATCATGACTCCGGCACCACAGGGCCCCTCTGTTCTCACCAAGGTTCAGTAGACTTTCTTGAATAAATGTTTCCAAATTTGCGGGATACCCTTAAGACAGTTTTCAAAGGCTTTTTTTAAATGGTGGTTGTGTAAAGTAAAAATACTTTTCACTAGTCCTAGTTGTTTTGCTGGGGAGAGAATCTGCAGAGCCACTCATGTTGAAAATTTTTATGTCTCATGTTCTCTTTTAAATAAATTTTTAGTTCATGGCCTGGCATAAAATTATCTATAAGTAGTTGCAACAGAAATTTAATATTTTTTTTTCTTAAAAAGCGGTATGTTTGTATACATGTGGGTGCATGTGTTTCTTTCCTGTTTTGTCTTCTACCCCCTAATGATAGGCTTGACCAGTTGGGCTAAGTTCCTTATCTGCCTTACCTAACTTTCATCTGCTTGGACTTATGTCCAAGATAACTGCCTTCCTGTCACCCCTGGTGGTCTCCTCATTTTTGCTTTTATGCCTAGGGTCCAAATTTTTACTTGAGTCACTGCAAATGGTGACACAGTTTGTAAACTATCTAAATGACTCATACATTAGCTTTGGTTTTCCGCCAATCTCTTGGCTTTCATAAACTAAATTATGGACTATCTTGTTCAGATGTTGGTCTTAAGACCCAATTTGTTGTATTTGTGTATTAGCTTTACAATCCTCATGTAGCAATTATATGGAAGATAGGATATTTTGGGTACCATTTAAAGAGGTTTGGTTTAACTGTCTACCATAGGAACTGTATTTTATTTTAAGGCTACTTCTTCAAGGCAGCTGTTTGGCAATGACCTCTGAGATAATACAATGAGATTGTATTAAGAGAAAGGTAAAAATTTGCAGATATGAAGGTGTGTTTTTTTTTAAAGGTTAGATGCATCATTAATGAGATAGCTTTTATCAGAGCAACGGATATTAATGAATGCTTTGCCTGAGTTAGCATTCTACTGATTTAATGTTTGAAGGGAATTGTTTTTCACAGGAATTAGAATAAGACAGAAACTCATTGGATCATTGCTGAGTCTCATTTTGGGGATCTTAGAGAATATGCCTGTTTCCTTGATTATCTAATGTGTAAATCAAATCTTTTGAAGGCCCACTGATTAGTAATTTATGTATAATCCATTTCAGTTTCTTCATAATAGACTTTTTCTTTCTGCCATTTTCAAGGAATACCCAATTATATCTTTGCATTCTTTTTTGGTATGTGAGTTCAACGGCCTATATAAAAAAGATTTTGAACCTATAATGAAGAAAATTTTCTGCCTCTTAGCATGGAACCATAATATTATGAGATTAGTTTTTGATGCGATATGATTTGATTTATGAACCAAATTAACAGTTGTTTAAGTATTTTCTTGAGGTAGTTTGTTGAAAGTATGAATAAGATCTGCTTTCAGAAATGTTACAGAGTTTAGAATATTACTTCAAAATATTTTCTAGGTAAAGTAAATGCGTTTCTTGTCTTTTTGCTTGTTATTTAGGCAGCAGGAGCGATTAGACCTCTTGTATCCACTGTCATCAGCCCATCCCCTGATGGTTGCTTAGACCACTCACTGGAACGTGCCCAACATAGAGCAAGTGAAATGCCACAGGCTTTTCTATATGATGTGATCTATGCAGCATATCAGCAGGTAAGAGTTCTGGCTTTTTAAAACAAGATTTTACTTATTTTTAGAGAAGGGGGAAGGGGAGACAAAGAGAGGGAGAGAAACATCAATGTGCAAGAAAAACATTGATTGGCTGCTTCTCCCACACCCCAAAATGGGGACCGGGCTGGCCTGCAACCCAGGCCTGTGCCCTGACCGGGAGTTGAACAGGTCACCGTTCGCTTTTGTGGGACAATGCCCAACCAGCTAAGCCACACTGCTCAGGGCCAAAATTTTGGCTTTTTAATAAAGCTGCTGTGTTGGGGGTCAATAAGACCACCCCTATATTTGGCGATTTTGTAGAACTCGTGGGACTCAGTATATAATTGTACTCATGACTTAAATTGATTACAATGAAGTAGTGAGGATGCACAGCTGGATCCTATGAGAAGGAGACATAGGCAGAGTGTGGAGGAATCCGCGTGGTGGCTTCCTTATGCTTTCCCCCTTTCCTGAAGGGTAACACAAAGACCACCTTCCCTCCAGCATCAGAAATGCAGCAACGGGTACAATGTTTCTCCTCAGGGAAGCCCATCAGAGACTTGGTGTCCAAGGTGTTTATTGGGGTTGGTCACGTAGACATCCGGCCTACCACAGTAAAAAGTTCCAGATTCCCAGAAAGAAAGCAGGTATTGAACATAAATCATATTGTTTATGCAGTCTGAGCACAGTGAGCCTCCCTTATCAGTTAACTGTTCACTGGGAATGCTCCCAGAGCCAATTTCCCAAGCGCTGGCCGAGGGCCCACCTAGTTAACAGGTGTTTCTAAGTTACAGCAGTTGCAGGCCTGATGTGGTAGATTTCCTGCATAGCTGTGTGGACATTTTGCTAATTAAAACTTTAAAGGTAAGTTCTTTCAAAATATCAAATAATTTATTCATGTTTTGATTATACAGGATTACCTTTGTTTTGTTTTTCATGGTTTGGAAACGTTTTGTACCTATGCAAGTTTTACTGCCATTAATTTGCATGCTTATTGGTTAAACAGTTATTGGATATCAGTCATTATGCTTGTCAGCAACTTCCCAGTGAAATATATCTCAGACTAACCCAGTCCTTGCTTGATGTTAGACGACAGTAAATATGAGATAATGGTACTATGAATATTGGTATTTAACATAATAAAAAATACTTTGTATTTTGGGTAGAGGGTAGTTACTCATATACATACATTAAATTATGACTCAATCTTGCCTATAAGTTACTGTTTAAAAATGAGATTATGTAAATTAGAATTCATTTTAATGATGTGAATAGTCAGCTATGGTTTATATTGTTTTCTTAAAATAATGAATTTGAAATGTAGGAATTTGCCTGTATTTTGTCATTAATCATAAACTGTTATGCTACTATAAATTTCTTTGTGGTTTTATTCAAATATCTTATTTTATAGCCTAAATTTTGCTGAGCTAGACTACATCTCCCACCTTCCCTGAAATTAATGAAATAATTTGTTTATTCTTCTATAAACATTTATATCAGGTTTGCAGGCTGGCCTCAATCCACTGAGCCACACCAGCCAAGGCTAAACATTTATATTAGGAAGAGTAAATATATTATGGCTATATTTTAGACAAAAATTGTAATATAATCTCACAGTCCTTACATTAGCCGCATCATTTTTTCAACAGCCTTTGCTGGAAAATTAAGCCTTAATGCACTGAGGCGCTGGTTCTCAAATACAAGTTTCTTCGTTTCTGGAACTTTACTGCCTACTTATCTTGCTACATGTCTCTTAGATACTAGGTAAATGATCACTTTCCTGCCCTCCTGCCTCCTCCCCAGACTAGGTTAGGTCAACACAATACATGTTTTCCCAGTCCTCTGTTTTTCTGCCCAGCATCAAAGTTATAATTAATTATTTGGGAAACCATTTATAAAATAAGTGACTCCCCTCCTAGATTTGGGGTTCTGTGAGGCGTATCTGTCTTGTTCTCAGCAACCTGTCTGGTACATTGTTAGTACCAAGTACATACTTGTTCAGTGGAAAAAACATACAAGATGTGCGTGTGTATAAATATGTGAAAAAGGGGCCTGTGTATTTGCTCTTCCCTCTGCCTGGGCCACTTTGTCCAGACGATCACCCTGGTTGATTCTACTCTTCATGTAGGTCCTTGTGCACCTGTCACCTTCTAAGAGAAGCCTGCCTTTATAATGTTACATAAGACAGCGTCCTCTATCATATATTTCTTTATTCTGCTTTAGTTTTCCTTATTAGATATCGCTTTTTTGACTAATCCATATTTCTGGTAGGTATTGGTCTGTCCCCACAATTAGTATGTCAGTTCCACAAGTACAGGGACACTTCTTATCTCTAGCATCTGGAAGAGTTCATGACTTACATGAGGTTCTTAATATTGTAAAATGAATGAATTTTATGCATATGCACCTGTGTGTATGTAGATACATATTTATATGTTAACACTAATGTCAATTATTATATAAAAAGCTCTGCATGGGGATAATATATATTCATAAATGTATATATTTATAAACTCTTCCTAGAACCTTTAGGAAAATCACCTGAACAATTATTAGAAGTGTGGGCAAAGATTTGTGTATAAAGTTCTCGATAGCAGCATTTTTTAAGTGTGAACTTTTACACGGCCTGTGTTTCTAGAGATCAGTTAGTGACATTCATTGGTAAAACTTTTAAAGGGTCACTTCAAGTTTGTGTTTTTGTAGAATTTCTGGGCATGCAAATGCTCATGGCAGAATGTTATGTTAATGGGATAACATAATGACACAAAGTTATATTAATAACTATATAGAAAATATATTTTATATCCTTATAGGTCTAAATGTATGGGTGTAGAAAAACTAATTGCATAATTGAATACTGAAGTGTTATTAATGTTTATGTCTGTGTTGGTATTAATTTAAAAGTCATTAAAAAATCTAAAGATGTGGTAGATATATAGAAGATACATAAATACTTAACTATTATTTTTATTGCTTTTTGGGCTTTTTTGTGTAAGTAGGTATTTGTTTATTGGTTTTCTTTTGTTGCTTAAGATCATCTAAAAATTTTTAATGACACATTATGAGTTTGCTAAAGGAAAATTTTGCTATATTAAATAATATCCTATTCAATAGTGAAATTTATAGTCTCTAGGAACATGGGGGTAACCCCAAAAATTGATCCAGAGGGTTCTTATTAAATATTCAAATATGTAATCCTTCTATGCAGTTTTAGGAAAAATAAGAAATTTTTGTAGAATGAAGCTTTTCAAATTACATAAATCCGTTTCTTGAGATAATGGGTGTGATGGTAACAGATGGTATTCTGAACTTTATTGTTTAGAGACCTGTGTCATTTCTAACACTCAAGGTTTTAGATTCCCAGAAAGCAATTTTTAGAATGTAACTTGTTAATTAAGTTTGCATGAAAGACACAGCAGGACTCAACCAGGAGGTGAAAGAGTTCTCTGTATTGTTAATTATGTACCTTTTGGTTTGATATATTGGACTTCACTCTGAAAATATTTAATATTTAAATATTACAGCTTCTCAATCCTCATTATAAGAGTTTTTTTTTTTTTAAGTACCCATTTAACTCGAAAGGGTAAAAACACCCTTAAGAACCACAATCAAATCAAACCCATTATAAAAGATTCCCATTACGTTGGTCTTCTGGTACAACAATATCATAATCATGATATTAAATGGGTACAACAGGAATTTCCTTTGTTACTGTTCTGCTCCTATCCATGTGCATTAGGATAAATAGAACTTACATCTTGTAATGAGTGCTAACACATCGGGCTTTAAGTACTGAGTTGACGAGAAGTCAGTCAAGAAGGTGGAATGTTATGAAGAGTATCTTTTCTTTATGTCCACAAGAATTACAATTTTCAGAGGCTTTATTATCATTTTACAGTGAATAGTTCCCCAAAGGAGGGGACTTTGATGAATGTTTAGTTGGGCCCGACCGGATTTGAAGGTGATTAGGAAAAGCCTCAGAAGAGTCTCAGAAGAAATCTCCTGTTACATGGGATTTTGAAAAGGAAATGTAGGAACGGATAGGAGGAGGGCACAGATTTTTTTTTTTTTAACAAATAGAGGATTGAGGACTGGACAGGAATAAGAAGATCATGAGGGGAAGATTGAGTGAATGAAGGAAGAAAATGTGAAGAAAATGAGTGAAAAAGAGAAAGAAGGGATTTAAAGACAAAGCTTTCTGAGTCCTAAAGAGCTGACTTGTTAGGACCCTCATTTTGCCTCTCGTAAATTTTAGCTGCAAACGACGGTAGCAAAACTGTACATGTCATTAATAAAACTATGATCTACATATTATTTTTTGTACTTTATAAGATAAAATAAATTCACAATTTTGTCGCATTTTTGAAGTTATTTAAATACTTCCCTAAGTCATTTCCTATTTTTCATATTGCTCATTTTCTAAATCATATTCCCTTTTTGTCTCCCTTGCTATTATTTTTTCTTTTACCAATTTTTCTAGGTAGGCTTTCATAGCCAGATCATTTCCATGGCCCCAATTTTGGAGAAATTAAAAAACATTGTAGAAAAAAATACATTTTATGACGCTGGCAGGGACTTCCTTTGAGAACAATATCTTCACCTCCAGAAGTTTCTTAATAGCCTGAAATTATAAATTATTTTGTTCTTTATTTACTTTATGTGTATGACACCAGTTTATAAATGATTTTTACCAGCTTGCTTTTCTCTGAACCTTCTACAATTGATTGTGGCTTTAAAACTGCTCCATCAAATCTTATCTAAATAGGTTTTGAGGAAAATAATCTTTTGGCAGTTTTCCCCTTGACATTCTTGTCCATCTTGATCAATGTGCCACAATAAAAATCACCATAGGTGATCTTTGTAACCTGCAAATCAGGCCATGCTGGTCCACAGCCTTGGGACCTATGTGGCGCTTTGTGTCCCACAGGATAAAGGACTTCAGCATGGTGTAATTCTCTTCCATTCCTCAGATCTCTCGTCTGTGGAGCTCATGACTTAGTTTC